CCCCCATAACCATAAACACACCCATAAATCCAAACACCCGGGATCCACGTATTCAAATTCCCTCACATATAACTACAAAAAATATGCTAAAGAATACACAGATGTGTACTGGAGTGTGTGTGTCAGTGTATGTACCATCCATTAATAGAGTCAAGCTGATGAGACGCACTTTGGAGGAGGAATCAATTAAACATCACATTTAAATAAGGACTACTTGTAGGAAAACTTTCTGAAACTGAAATGGTTCTGTTTTCTTTTGTAGTTTTAACACTAGAACTCCCAAGGTAGTCTTTTTGATAGTTTTGAGATTTTGAAGTGAAAGAACTTTATTTACATTAATCTTATGTTGGTCATGTTAACTTCATATTTTCTTCATTTTCACTTTGATTTTTGTATAAAATAAAATCCTACAAAATAAATATGGTCAATTTTACCTCAATCTCACAAAGTTTTCATTTTGACGGCTCTAAAAGATGCACTGTAAATTCTTCCCGTGGTTGATTAACTGTTCGTACCGTTGCCTAGCAACCAACATTCTACCTAGACAACTCTTTGGCTAATATGTAAAAAATGGCTTTCAGGAAAGATCTAACTGCAAAACAGGCTTTAGAAATGCTTCAAAATATTGATGAGAGCAATTTGGGCTGAGACTGATGATGACGACTGGTCGATAGAAAGCGGCTCAGATTCTGATAGCGAGTCCGAGGATGATCAATGACCCCCGAAAAACGCAGAAGTATCAGTGACACATTAGACAATAGGGAAACTTTTGTTCAAGGTTTGGATAGCACTGCCAACAACTATGCTGGCCCAAAATCCAAACAAGAGCCCGTGGTCTACTACTATCACACAAAGGTTAGCGTGGATGTGTTAGGTCAGATGATAAGAAAGTTTTCTATAAAATCTCCAACATAAAGGTGGCCTGTAGATGTGTTTTTCAGTCTCCTGGATATAGCAGCTATAAACGCGTTAGTTTTATTCAGGAGCTGTATTAACATCACTGTCTAACGCAGAGATTTAATTCTCGATTCTTGATTTAGTAAAAGAGTTGCATGCCAACCACATGCGCTTCAGAGAGCAGCAAGTTACCAACCCCTTCGCACAGTGCCAGGTGCGTCAGCGCTCTACAATAAAACCCTTATATGATGTTTGTCATAAATATGAAAAGGTGGTGTGCGGGAGATGTGTAGGGGGGAATCAATCAAATTCGGAAAATGAAATTGTCAGATCAAACTTTGAACCTGTTTAGTAAAACATTTATTTATTTTATTCATTAATTTTTAATACAAATTTAGACTAAAAATAACAACAGCATATAATACAGCCTTTGAAATATCTATATTAGACCTGTTTATATCTATATATCCACAATGGGTTTATATGGCACACTAGAACCATTAAGTCAATGACATCATCACTACTCTCAAGTTCCATTGGGAAATATTTCAGCCGTCAAAATGACTGCCAGTGGGAATTCTAGTGGTATCAGAATCCTGGGAGTCCTAGTGTTAAAGACCTGCACAAAAAAGCAACAATAACAAAAACACCACCCTGATTGAGTAGGATTATTAAAACAGCATAAAGAAATAGCTACGAACTGGAGCTAAAATTCAAGGTATTCAGATCGAGCCTTAGGTTTTTCCGTCTCCACACTTAAAATTGATTTGTGACTGATGGGCCTTTGCATCACTTGGTGGCAGATGAGGAGAGATTTCAATTATTTGATGCAGGTGTGCCTGGACATATACACAGCTTAAATAAGCAGGATGTTAGGCCCTTAAGATTAGAGTGAAAGACGCTTGTTTACGGAGGATTTCAATGTAAATGTAAAAAAAGGCCAATCAATTTTGCAGGACTTTTTTCTTCTTAATGCCCTATAGCTTAAATGTTAGCTCACAAGTCTATAAGCAAAGCTCATCACTTGCACTCATTTAAGCCTTTAAGTATACAGCACTTAGAGTAAAGTACTTGTAGATATATTCATCAGTTCGCTGACCCTAAAATCACTCTGGTCTTATCTATTTTAGTTGCATGCATAAGAGAAAAAAATCATTTCAGCATTAGACATAGGCACTCATAATGTTTGCTTTAGAATAACTGCCCATAAAGGTATTGATTAATGCCGTTTATGCATCTAAAGCTGCTGTTTATGCATCTAAAGCATGAATAATTGAAATAACATTTTACTGAGACATGCATCAATTACAGCTGTAGACCAACGCAATCAAAATACCCAGAAAAGACCATTAAATTTCCAATTTAAAGCTATAATAGGCTCGATGGAGGAACTCATAATCATATACATTCCTCAACAAAAGTGTGTTATATTAGAGAAATGTAGGAATATCTACCCTGCAGCACCTGATGAATGCTTTCCTACACAACAGCAGAAGCTCTTCATGAGACGGGTAGTTCAGACAAGCAATATACATCCCTGTACTACAGAAAAAAGTTTAAGCACTTTAAAAATCACAATTAAGGATTATACTATGGTAGGTTGTTTTAGTATATATCTGGATGTATTGTTCTTGTGCCATCAGACACAAATTTCCTCTGTGGGCATTAATAAAATATCTATTCTATAACAAAACCAAGTTAGCAGAATCTTGTCCACAAAACAGCTGTTATTTACACTCTAGTAATTTGGCCTTGATTAGACTTTTAGGTGTGTATCTAAGATGTAACATTGCACATCCCCTTAAACATTGTCCCTGTTGTAAAATATGGAGTTCTGCCTTTAGGACAGATGTTAATTTATAACTACAACAAGCTTGGGCTTTTACAAATGGGGGGATAAAGGTTCATAATAGTTCAGTTTTTAAAGCAATGTTTTTTGCCATTTCACTTGACAATTATGTGATACTTAGTGTTGTAGTGACTTAAATTTAAAATAAATCACATAGAAATGTTGAGCTGCCATCTAAATGTGCTCAAATTGAAGACATGACCTTTTGAAAGACACTGAACTTTAAGACCACTTAAGTCCAATTAAACAGAAATTAGTGTTTTTAGAAACTACTTAGTCTTTGAAATCCAGGGTCGGTCATTGGTGTTGCATATTCGGGGTCATTTGCGTACCACGTGGTGGGGCGTGGGTCATTTGTCTAAGGTGATGGGAGCTGGAGTTTAATATGCAGGGAGGCAAGGGAGGGAGGGCATGTGACATCCACAGAGAGACGGGACCCTCTTTGACCCCTGTCTATAATTCATCCCCTGGAATATGGGGTGTATCAAACCTCAGTTTCTTCCCACCCAAAAAGAGTAGAAAAAAAAAACCTTCTCACTTTGTTGCATGGAACTCTGACCCTGTATTAAAGCAAGGAGCAAGAAGGAACCTGGAAACGTTGGTGATTAAATTTTCAGGCCCATCCCAGGAGAGTAGAACCAGCAGGTCCTCTATTCATGGAGAGGAAGAGACTTAGGAGAAGCACAAACTAGTCAGGAGAAGAGGAAGAAAAGGTGTGGGACTCTGTGTCTGGGTGAGAAAGAAACACAGTACATTTTATGTGAAAATGTACTAACAAGTGCACACAAGAGCAAAAACCCAGAGATGGTATCAACTAAAAGTTATAGTTCGATTTTGTACTTAAAGTTTACATGTAATGCTCATCTGAAAGCAGGACCAAGGCCTTTCAAAAAGCAGTATCCCTAATTTATGCCCAAGAATCCTCTCAGTTCTTTGGTTGTTACAACTTCTGCTTCTCTTAAATTGAACAGTTCATTTTTTACGGGAAAAAAATAATCTGTCCAGTAGAAAGTTTTTTTCTCCCCTTTGGTTTTCTTGGCCAAGAGATGCTTCCAGGGTGGTGAGAAGGGGCCACTTCTAAGCTGGGCTGCGCTCTGGACTCAGCTTATATCTATCATGGACAACACCTTTCACCGCATATGACGTCACCCCAACGTGACAAATTTAGGCTACGGTATGTGCAGCATATTATGTTAGCCTACAATTGTCATATTTAGCTGATCTTTAAATAAAGATGTCACCTTTTCCATTCAAATTTCTAAAGTCACTCTTTACTAATATCAGCTTCTAGTTGTAAAATGTGTTTTTTAGATATGAGGCACACTCCTTGTTATCAACATTATTGATCATCTCTGTTCCTCTTATCTGTGGAGACTCTCAGTCATCCCGGCCGTGTTCAAGCTTGAAAACTTCAGTTTAGGCTCTGTACCTCTGTTTCTATAAACTATTGTTTGCTCTCTGTCTGTCTGACCAGACCATCACCACAATTGTACAACAACACGTCCTCATCTTATATTAATATAATATTAAAATGTTTTACATTCTCTTAAATTTTATAGCAATGCCAAAATCTGCTTTTGGATTTGTGTATTTTTCCAATTTCACCATCAAACTGAGGACCTTTTTTTTTTTTTTTACCAAACTGAGGACCGTTTAGCTGGCTCTTGCCTCCTTTTTTTTTTTTTTACTAAAGGTTATGTTTAGGACTAAGGTGTGAGTTGGTTTTAGGGCAAGATTAGGGTTATGTATGCACTGCTAATAGTTAGGTTTAGGATTATTTTAAGGGTTACAGCTTAGAAAGGCTTTAAAATGACTGAAAATCAATTAAAGTTAATGGGGTCAACATGTGGTCGTCAATGCATATAGCAAGATGTAAATGGTGTGAGGGGGGGAGTGGGGTGTTCAAAGGTTTTAAAATCTATTAGGGCCTTTCCATTTATATTCATTTTCTGGGTATATTTAAGGGGGATGTACTTGTGCTTGCAGCTGATTCAGAACAGCTTTTTTTTTTTATATTTAAGTCAGGTGAGAACTTCGATGAAAAGCAGGGATCTTTTTTTGATCCTCACTTTTTTGGGTCACAAACTAAGCTGTGATTCAAGCTTTGTTTAGGCAAGGTATGCGCCAGTAATGGTAATTATGATTAGGGTCCAGGTTAGTCCATAGAAACACTGAAAATAAGTGCAAATCAATGTAAAGTCCTCAGCAAGTATAGATGAAGGATTTGTTTGTGTGTGTGCTGAATACAACTTACCAGATGTTCCAGTTTGTCTTTGATACTCGCGGCATCTCTGAAACAACAAAAAACACAATGTTTAGATACTACAGTGAAAGGCCACTAAGTAAATAAGCATTTAACTTAAATTTTAGGCAATGTAGGGTGTGTGTATTTTTGCACTTTTCTGGGAGATTCATCTAGTTTAGAGGAAAATAGGAGATATAAGCTCCTTCTCCATGTTTAGCTCTGGCTCTGGATATGCAGAGTAGACTTGACCCAAAAAACCTGAGAGGTCTTGGTGGTTGATACACTGGCAACAAGTCTGTAATGTATTTTCGTACTGAGCTATTCAATGATTTATAGACTAATAGAAGTATTTTAAAGTATTTTCTCAGAGCTTAAGGGAGACAAGTGTAACTACTTTTAGAACTGGGGTGATGAACTCTGCTTTCTGAGTGTTGGTAAGGACGTGGGCAGCAGTGTTCTCAATCAGCTCTATCTGTCTGATCGACTTTTTAGGCAGACCTGTGAAGTCACAGCGGCAGTAATCAATTCTACGAAAGATAAAAACATAAAATAGTTTTTCAAGGTCCTGCTGAGGAAAATCAAAAATAACTATTATCAGAGAGAATAATCCTCATAAAACTAGGATGGTTCATCAAAAAGAGAACAAAAACACAGATTTATCCTAATGGCTAACCTCTCAGGCTGAATGCAGAGTGTATTTCAATGCTTCTGAATCTAAACCACACAGAGGTTAACTAATACTGTCACCACACCACTGGCAGTCGTGATGATAATTTACAACTACAAAGAAAGAGCTGGGAGCTCATTATCTGTGTAGTAATGATGATCATAATATTAAAAAATTTGTGTATGATTACCAGGCTAGCAACAACAGACTTCCTACCCGAGGAAACAAGGGGGGGTTGCTCAGTTTAAAAAAAAAAAAAAAGAGCAAATTGGCAGTGAATAATAGATGCAATTCTGGCACATTTCAAATTTGCAGCAGTGCAAATCAAAAGATCAAGAGAACACAAACAGCACCCAAACCCCACGTCTACGATTGCACACCCCCCTCGTCCAACTCTGCCCTCCATTACTGAGAACTCCACCCAGGCTGTGGTGCTTTACGGTGTCGTGTGTGTGTGTGTGTGTGTGTGTGTGTGTGTGCGTGTGTCTGTGCTGAGAGGGAAGAAGGCTTATCGACAGGCTTCAGTTGCTAATGCAGCTGGCAGCATCACTGTGTAAATCTACACCATCTCTAAAATTACATACCGTCTAATCTATCCGACTCCCTCTGCTTTTCTGCTCCCTCTATGCATCCATCCTACAGGACATGTCCCATATATATGCTAGCATCTCCAACAACATTGCCTTCAACTTTTCCAAATAAAGTCTTGATGGAGAACAGAACCTAAGGCAGATGCATTGGACAGGGTGGGTTCGGGGGGGTTCCCCACAAGAACAGAGAAAATAGATTTGTTTGTTCGCTCCGCGCCCCGTCTGACAAACCGCAAGAAGTCGACCACTTAAGGCAAACTTCATCTAGCCGTAATTACATTACATTCTGACAAACACCCCGCCACATTCATTATACATGACGGGCGCCCAGCAACCAGACAGCAAGACATTTGTTACTGTGGTGACAGTGTGTGTAATCCACTAATGAAGCGCAATTAGTGAGAAACAATCCAACACTGGGGAGACACAGCGCCCCCAACCCCCCCCAGCCTCCTTTAATCTCACTCTCAGTTTTACAATGACATCTTTTTCCTCCCTTGTAGTTTTTTTTATTCAGCATTATTTTGCCATTCACACACAATTAATGCCTATCTCTTTCATCTGCTTTTTAGACCTAATCAAGGGGGAGGCTGTCTAGTGGTGTCCTCAGTGGGGCCGTGGGTATTGCTCTGTCCACAAACACACAGTCTCATCCCATTTTAAACCCCCATTTCTCTTCTCAAAACATCATATAATATGCCTAGGCCTTATGGGAGGCAGTTTTCCCTTTTCTTCTATCTCTCCTTCCTTCCTCCCTCCCTCCCTCTGCACGCGATCTCTTCAACACGGAGGCAGCATCGATTTCTGAATTACGCCACAATATTAAATAATTAATATACTTGCAGTGATTGATGTTTTGCATTAGGCCAATATTAGCTTATCAATCAAAATCCACTTGGTTTAATGTAATAATATTGAAAATGTGTCAGTGCCTGTTCTTCCAATTTGTAGTGGAGGCAGGCCAGATAGTAATGGTGGTGTAGCACAAGGCCTCAGAGACATATATGGCCTGCTCGCTACAACCGCAGGAGCACATTACAGTCTTGAGATGGAGATAGGGAGGGAGAGGAGACACAGAGAGGAAGTTGGAGAATAGAAATGGAAGGACAAAGGTGAGCAGACCACTCTGTGATAAGTGAGAGAGGGAGAGGGGGGCAGCATGTCCTCTAGATGGCTTGCTATTGTTTAACTAAAAGGCTACATCATGATATATTCTTTTTTTTTTTATTGTACAAAGAAGTTTTACTTTACTGATAGACATACATTATTATAAAAATTACCACTGTGGTACCTATTTAAATTCTATTACAAAGGGAAGTTCACTTTATAGTTTAGAAACATGTAACAGAAAGGCTTCCTAAGCAGCAGGCAACTAGTTCTATAACCAAAGAAGCTATGTATTTGTAGTGTAGTGTCATTTAGCTCAAATTTAACTTTAAAGAATCTCTTTAAAAAAAAATATATATATAAAAAATTTTTATAATCTCAAACATTTCACGATTTTCAAGGAGAGATGAGCAAATGAAACCCAGACTCCCTTAAAACTGCAGGGTGAAAGCAAACATTTTCCTACGATGCTTAAAGTCGTAGGGAAAGTTCCAACTGTTGCATTTCCGAATTCTCCCAAGTGGTGTCCGACTTTACACGAGTGAATAAAGTGAATGTGATTGGTTTATCAAGGGGCCGGGATTGTTGTGGCGGAAGGTTCAAAAGCAAGTTTGGTTGTAGCCGGTTTGGTTTCTTGGAAGCATCTTGCTAACCAGTTAGCAACTTCGTGCTAGTAGGTTCCCAATGTAAAATTACATTGGGACCAAGTAGCACTTAGCAACGACACTGTCAAGGAACGCTATGGACAGCAGAAACATGCAAGAGGAGGACAGTTTTGTGTCGGAGGTTGTGGATGAGTCTTCGCCGTCATACATTTTTATTTAGAGGAGGAAAGTGGGTACGAAGTTGTTGAGGAAGAGGATGTCAGGGCGGCAGAAGCTTGGTTTGGTGTAGAAGGCTTAAAGCCGTACATGTTTGAGCCCTTGCCTCGCAACGCTGCCAGTTCTGTTAGATCTACGCCTGCCGAAGACACAGACGTCCATCCCCGTGAACACTGGGACGGAACTCAATGGTAAAGTAAATGATTCTTATTTCAACCGTTGCATATATTAGCTGCGACATATGAATCAAGATGCTATGACAGAAAAATTTGATTGACAGATGACCATTGATATATGATTGGCCAAATTTAGGTGTACAAGCTGACGTATAACAAACTGGCCTGCATAAGACAACGAAAAAAACCCCACAGATTTTAAGACAATTTTTTAAAAATAGAAATATTCTAACTTTTGGGACAGTATCGTCTAATAAAGACATAAGATAAGACATTTGGACATATGATAAGACATTTATATACATGTTTAAACCTGAATTATTTGACATTTAAATATGACTTCCCTATGACTGTAAAAACAGTTTTTTGGCTCTTCTATCCTGGACTCATTAGAACAGCCTTAACTTGCAGAACTAGACAACGTCACACACCAATCATCATTCACTCTTCACTTTGAAAGATTTATCGATAATAAAACTGTCAGATATTGTGGTATAGGTATATAATGTCTGTACTTGGATTTACTCATGGTTACCATACCTAAAAGTAACTTTTCAGTAACAACCCCAGAATTTAGGAGATACTTTAAAACAAGAAAATATCTTGAACTGCTGCGCTTCAGTGTTTGATATCTTGACCTAAAGAATGTAACTTGCTTTAAGTTATTTTTTGGTTTTAACCAAAGGGTATGATGAAGTACAGTACATGTAAGATGCTGGTTGTTTTATCAAATACAGTTACGATGCTACCATTATGGGAATTCCAGAACAGCACTAAATCGCTCTTTTCCATCTCCCTCCAAGAACCACTCGTTGTTGTCATCTCAAAAACTAGGTCAGGGGAGAAGCTTTCATCAGAGGCAAGGATCAACACATTAAACAGTCAATCAAAGTGTTGTGACAAAAAGGTTCAAAATGAATGACTGATTATTGCTGACCTGCATCATTTTACATTAGTGCTTTAAAACCACAGAGCTAGTTGGCCTAACATTGGAAAAAGTTTCTACCTGGTGCCCATTTTGAAGGTTTCCCCCCCAAAAAAACAATTAAATCCAGGGAACAATCAGCTTTTAGTGGCAGTGGGAAAAGCTCATCAACCCACGATGAACTGAATCAAATGTAAATATGTCAATGCAAGCGACACAGATTAAAATCACCTTCAAATGGCTCGTCTCCGGTCAGCATGCAGTGGGAACACCAGACCCAGGTCAACCCGATAATTTACGTGATGCCCTTGAGCACAACGTACATACGTCACAACATTGTGCAAGTCACGTTTGATATAACAAAGCCAAACAACTCTGCTTGCTTCAGATAAACATGGTGCAGCACTTTCAAGATGGATTTGGACGATTAAAAGAGCAAAACAATTAAGCACACTGCCTTCCATGTAGCTCGATTGTATACTTTCCTTTTTTTCTGTCGCAGTGATGACATCATTGGCACTAACCCAGCATGATTGCGTCATTGGCTGTGGGGAATGGAGGCCACGCAACTTGGGGTCAGGGGTCAGATGTGGCTTTTTTGCCAAATGGGAAAGCAGCCAAATGTAGATTGTTAGCAGGCTAATGGGAAAGCATCTTATTTATTTGAATCTTTGACAATTCTTTCGGATGTTCAGGTCACGCACTTGTTGAATGAGAAGGCCTGGCTTCCAAACTCCGGCTTGAGACGGAGACTGTCCAG